AAAAAGGATGCAGTCTACCTGAGGAATGAAGTTTTGAAGTTTTGAATAAGCCTGTGGAAGAGTCCCAAGGCTTCCCCCTCCCCACCTTAAAGCTACAGCAACCATTTCTAGGCATAGAGAAGATGATAAGAGAATAGACTACTCATCGTAAAATCACCCAAAGATACCCATCTTGTCATATTGGGTCATGTTGATTAACCTCCAGTAATCTGAGACCTCCCGGGTTAACCAGGATTGATGGTAAATGATGGGGAGTGGCTTGGTGAGCTCTCCCACCCAGCTCATTTGACTCCTAGTTCTTTTCAGTGCTTTGAGATCCAGATCTTTTAAAAATCCACCTAAAATTCTGTTACAAGATTTAGTCGACAGCTTTGAGACTCGGCTGACAGCTTTGCTCTTCAGGTAAAACTGAGCTTTCTATAATAAGGTGCAGTTATTTGCACAAGAAATTGAGCTTTCTTGCAGGAAGATCTTTAATTTGTGGGATTAACTGCCATGCAAACTGAAATGTCATCAAAACTTTCCCCTGATTTTTATGCACATGCAAGGCATGCTTTTGAAGCTCAACTGTCCATAGTATAAACACAATCCCAGTGAGGGAACATTGGCTAAAGCTGTAGCAGGGGAGAGGAAGAAGAGAGCTTGTCTATACTGGGCCAGTAGATGTTGGCCAATGGAAGTAGCTGTTCAGCAGATAGTCAAGAAAACTGTGTTCTGGAGGTCAGAATCTTAAGTCAATTCCTTCAAACTATGCCAACAACATGGGAGGAGACACTGTGGAACCATGAAAGAAATCCTTTTCCTCAAATGAGGTCAAAGAAGAGGGCGTTCTTAAAAAATGTGATACATAAGCATGAGTGTTCCAAAACTCAGTTCCCTCAACTGCAGCCCTAGCATCTAGTCTTACTGCTTGCCCTCTTAAAACCTTTCTTCTTCCTGCTTGATGGAGATTTTTTTATTCTTTATTAAAATTATGACCACTGGCAAAAATGACACTCAACTTTCCTGTATGCTGCAGGAAATATCTGCAGTATATCTTCAGAAATATCTTCATGTATGCTTCAGGAAATATCTGAATATCTTCAGTTGTGATATTCCTTAATATCACATATCAAAAAAATTCCAGTAGACCTGGAAAACCTACAGGGGTTAGGGTGGAGGGGATGTCTTGGCTTGGGCCACTAGCTTTGATCTTGGGAGTAGGAGTAGCTGGATCCTGAGGAGGGAAGCAGCTGGCATGATGGTGACTAAGGGGTATTGGAAAGGTTGAGTGGGCTTCACTGATCTTCATGAAGAGCACAGGAAGGGGAGAAATGCCTTGGCCAAGGCAGGTAATGGTGGGAGGCAGCAGCAGCCATAGACTGAGCTGTATTGCAGGCTCAGCCATGCAGCTGTGACTGTATCTAGGCGAGCTGCTACTGCAATACACTTGCCTGAAACAAGGTCTGACAAACCAGGGTGTGGATATTCTCAGTTCAGTCAGAGAGAAAAAGAGAAAGATTTCTGCCAGGCTAAACCTGGGAAAAACTCCAGGAGGAATGTAAACAATCTATTTTCTTGTTTTCAGTTTATATTGTTTATAGGTATGTTCTACCACACTGACCTAAGTCCAAGTGTACCAATCAGGTGAAATGTTTTTACTTTAAGACCAATGAAATTAATGTTCACAATGTTTTCTATAAAAGAGAGAGGTGTTTTTGAATAAAGATTCATTCTTTGCCTTCTAAAGATGGAGTATATTCATTCCCATCCCTGCCTCAACAGCAACATCAGGGCATTCCCAGTAATTTCTTGTGTTTGGGGTCAGTGGGTGCAGCTAACATGCTTCCAATGAACCTGAAGGAGACTTATGTACAAGAGTGACATGAGTGCATCTAAACATGACACTGTGGCAATTTGACTTAAAATCATCCTTCAGTTTATAGAGCGTGGATAGGAAAACAAGAATATATAGATTAAATCACCTCTATACTGATGACTCTGACATCCAGTTAAAATGTTGGTTCCTGCACTTGAAACAGATGCTAAAATATTCAACACACAGCAGACAAAAAAAAAAAAAGGTACAACTTTGAGTGAGGGAATGTGAAAGGGAGTTTATGGTGAGAGGCTGAAGAAGCTCAACCTGTTTGGTTTACCAAGAAGAGGACTGAGATGACTTGCTGATAATCCACATCTTTAGAAGCGGTTACAAAACATCACAGAATCGTTTAAGGAGAAGGGAGAAATCCCAGAGTGTGAACTGAAGCCTACCAATCCTGGTTAGAAATTAGGACATGTTTTTAGACAGGAGGGTGAGAGCAGGCACTGAAACAATGTGCTAAACTGTAAACTCACCACATCTTCACTCCTGGCTTCAAACTCTGTCCAAAAGGCATGTACTAGCCAAATAGAATATTCACTCTCACTACCCCTTCAAACTGGTCCTTGAACATCACATCAGTTTCATCCCCAGACTCGCAGGAATTTTAGAAGCAGTAAAACTGGCTGGTTACCGCAGGATTGCCCGCTCCATTCCTGTCTTCTCTAGTACCTGTACACTCTTTGCGGTCTACCTCACCGCAACCGCTCCCGTGGCTAGTGGGCAGCCGGAGCTCGCACACTGCAGGCGGCACGACCACGTCTGTCACTAAAGCATCTCCTCCCCAAACCACTGCTCTGGGGCAGCCGCCATCCCCGCTCATCTCGATGAACACCCGCACCCACTTGCTCTTCTCATGAGCCCTCAGGGAACAGCACGTCGCGAAATGCCCGCGGGCGCGCTCCGCGGAGGGGACACTCCCGCTCTCCCCGCGGGCGCGGCCCGCCCGGCGCCGGGGCGGTGCCGGCTGCCGCCCGACGCCCGCTGCCGGGGCCGGGCGCGCGTTTCTTGTGGAAATCCCGGAGCCTGCAGCTCCGCCCCGCGCGTGTCCGTGGGCTGGGGCCGGGCGGGGAGCGGCCCCGGCCGCCGCCGCCCCGCCCCGCCATGCCGCAGCCGTAGGCAGCCCGCGGCCGCTCGCAGCCCTCGGCCTCCGCGGCCTCCGGGCCGATGGGCAGCCTGCTGAGCGGGGTCAGCTTCAAGGAGCCCACCACGGTGGAGGACTGCGACTCCACCTGGGAGACCGACTCGGAGCCCGAGGCGGCGGAGCCGCGGCGGCAGGAGGGGGTGTGCGCCGCCGCGGGAGGCGGGGAAGAGCCGCCCGCCGCCGACTGCCGGCCCGGGGAGCCGCCGCCGGCCCCGCCAGCGCGGCGGGACGCGGAGCGGCCGGAGGCGGACGCCGCCAGCCCCGAGCAGGTACCGGCAGCGCCGGGCGCGGCCCCGCCCCGCCCTGCCCTGCCCGCGGGCCCGGCGGGCACGGGCGGAGCCGAGCCGAGCCGAGCCGAGCCGAGCCCGGGCCGGGCAGCCCCGCTGCCGCTGCTCTGCGGCACTCGCGGGCCCGGGCTGCTGCCCGGAGCGGCTGGGGATTGCACAGCGCTGCATGTCTACTGAGGACGAGCCCGCCTTAGGTTTTTATCTCTCTCCTGTTATTACTGGGAGAAAATCGAGGCCTTGGTGTCGGTGACATTCCCGCTGCTGCTGTTTTCAGGAAAGGCTGTGTTTTAAATTAAATTGAGCATTTAGCGTGGCCTCTTCATTAAAAAGGATAAAAATCTCAATATTTGATCCTTTGTGGCAATGGAATTGTGACTCCTCGGTGGGTGTGACGAGTTTTCAGAGCGTGTTTCTCTTCTTCAGGAAGCTTTGTTAACGCCGAGCTTAAAGAAATAAAGTGTTCTTTTGACAATAATTTTATTTGAGTTAGAATACCATGTAGGGTGGAGAGGCTGGGTGTTTTTTTAGATTGCTAGATATATCGTGTTTTGGTTCAGAGACCAAACAAAATGAATTGAGCCTAAGTGTCTTTCCGTTTTCTCCTTGTTACATGGTGATACTAGTGCCGGATAACCGAGTGTCAAGGAGTGTGTCTTGTTCAAGTGTGTTTTGCCTGCGGGTATGGTCAAAGCTGATTTTGTGAAAGGAGGAAGGAGCATAGCTGTTTGTCATTAGGGTACAGTTGATAAGCCATGGGATGGGCAACAAGAACGGCAAATGCCCAGTGCAGTCCCAGAGAGCTTCCTCTTTTAAACTTGACTTTAACCTATTGCACCCGTATTGCAAGGAGTAGAATGAAATTTTTTTAGTAGCTATTTTCCACAGGGTACAGCAGTAGCAATTAAGTCTGTGTACATGACTCTTTTTTCTTTTTCTTTTTTTTTTTTGTAAATAGTATGATTTCCTCCTCCAAATTGATGGTGCCTCTGCATTTTCAAGTTTAATTACTTATTTCACCTTGTATTAGAACTTGCTAGATTACTTTGAAGTCTTATATTTGGAAATGACAATCAGACTGTTAATTTAGTTCAAATTCAGCCTCATTGGAAGGACAGTTCATAGTCTTACTTCTGTATTTTAGATTAATCTTTTAAAATTAGGTTTAAAGTGTGTTGTGTAAGTATTGAGCAGGGAAATTTTCAGTGTTTGACCAAACAGTAGACAAATACATGCGCTTACATTTGTTTACATTACTGAAATCCATAATGAAAAGTAATTATTTTAATACTGTAGAAGTATGGTATTTAGGGGGTTTGTGTATGATGATTATCTGCTTTCTAACTGTTTCAGAGTGGTGATGGAACTGAGCTGACAGCCAAGCCAAAGAGAAGCTTCTACGCAGCAAGAGATTTATACAAGTACCGACATCAGTATCCAGTAAGAATATTTTATGGTTTAAATTTTCTTTTCAGTGAAAAAACATTCTTAAACCTTTTTATTGTCCAGTAAGTACAAGAAATGAGAACCAAAAAGCTGCTACACAAACCAAAAAGCTGAGGCACAACGTATTCAAGTGGGAGAGAAGTAATGTCTTTTCATCCCGGGCAAGCATGCAAGCACGCACGTGATATGTGTAAGCCTGGGAACTGTTGTAGGAGCCCAGGAAAAGGCATGTACCGTGGATATCAAAGATGGTAGGTCATAGAGTTTGCCTGACTGATTATTTGTCTCTCAAGGTCCTTGAGGTTGAAGGGAGAGGGTGCTGCTATGCTTGGTGCTGCCTCAGTAGGAAAAGGTACCAGCCAGAAAGAATTTTCATACACTTAAACTGAGTCTTTAAGTGCATGAGTAGAGCACTGTGGTTCCTAAAACTCTGAAATTTTTTGTCCTTAAATTATTCAAAGAGCCCAATATCACTTTCTGGATAGTCTTGGTAGGTTTTTGTAGGCTGATAATGTCCTATTTCCTTTCTTTTAGCAGAACTTTAAAGATCTTCGTTATCAAAATGACCTGTGCAATCTCCGGTTTTACAAAAATAAAATCCCATTTAAACCTGATGGTGAGTAATCTGCAACAATAATGGTGATAACAGAAGCATGCTCACTAATGATAGTAGCAAATTGAAACAGTGGTGATAATTGAGGCAAATTAAAGGTGTATAGTAATATATTGTAGAACATGAACTTCCCATGTTGGAGTAGCACACTGATAACACAAGAGCAGTATGTGCTTAAAACAGTTAGCTTTCACTCTAGGAAGATGGTACTTTTCTTAGACATTATCAGCATGAAGTAGGACAAGGCGTTGTTTGTACCACTTTGTGATACCTTTATTAAACAAAGATAAAGTTCTTCTACTATATTGCACGAACTTGCTGTTTGAATAGGAGTGGCAGCAATCTATGGGTGATATCCCTAGAACTGTGTAAGGGGAAAAAATGTGCTATAATCTTGTGTGAGATTATTGTTAATCCAATAATAAAGCCATTTCTCAGTGTCCCTAGTGGTTTCGGTAGTGGAGCAGGAACCTCATATGCAGCATTCTACACAAACACAGGAGAAGCTGAAAGATGACAAGCCCTACTCTAGAGAGTTTGCAGTTGATGTATGAGTGACAATAGGATAGTGGACAGATGAGGAAGCAGGAGGAAGCAATAAAGCAATCTTGGTTAGGGTGATAGACAGGAGTCTCAGCACAGAAGATCTTAGCCATTAGCAAAAAAGAGAAACTGAAGGCAAAAAATAAGATTTTATGGGTTTTAAAAGAATGATGACAAGGTTGTTTTGAAGGTATTTGCCATAGGTTCCTCTCAGTATGAGAGCAGCTGGGTAGGAAATAGTGAAGTGCACATTGGAGTGCAGAAGAAGTGAGATGTGTAGGCTGCCTTTGAGGCAGAATCCTGTTGGAAGAAGGATCAGTCTCATAGCAACAAATGGGTTCTGATAAGGTAGTGAGGGACAGGTCACAAAGGCTTTAGAAGTGAAGGTGTATAGTTTTTGTTTGATGTTACAGAGCACAGTTTCACGATGGAAGAATGCAAAGCAAAAAAAAAAAACAGGTCAGTATAAAAAAGTAAAAGTCTAGAAAGATTATCTTCCCAGCATTTCAGGGTAGCTGCATTCAGCAGCATTCACGGTAGGTGTAAGCATGACAAGAAAGCACTTTTCAAGGTCAGGAAAAAAAAAGTTGAGATGCAAAGTGTGAGAGTTCAGATAGGAAGCTGGATGGAAGGGAAGGTTGTAAAAATGAACACACATAGACAAGATAGTGGTAATACCCTTAGCAAGTGAGAAGATAACTCAGCTTGTGAAAGAAAGATAAGACTTTTGCTTTAACCAACTTGCGCTTTATCTAGATACCCATAGGCAGATGCTTTCAGTCAGTTTTAGCTTGGCTGTAAGAAGAGGTAGGTCTGGGAATTGCCAGTAAAGAAGTAGTAGATTTGGGAGACGTTACCAAGAGAACAGATAGAGAAAGTAAGCTTAAGGGCAGCGAGGTTTGTGTGAACCTGGGGACCATATGGCTCTGAAACTAAAAGACAGAAAAGGTTGTGGGGAAGAACTCCTTTAAAGTCCAAAATGAAGAAGCAGTTCAAGAGGATTAGCTATAAGAAGAGATAGTCATGAAAGCTATAGGAGGGCTTCTCTCCCAAAATTTGTAAAGAATAACATTTCTCGTAGTATTTTAGGAGAAAAGCACGATTAGTAATGTCAAAGGTAGCTGATAAGCCATGGAGGCTGATGTGTTGTTGGCTGTGAACAACTCTGGCTATGCCAAAGTTTGTATTGAGAATGGAAAAGAGTAACCACCACCTTGACCTGAGTCTGTGGTTCTGTGAGAGTGTTTGGAGGGAGTCTTAGCTACCAGGTTAAGGATTGAGATACTGGAGAATGTTGTTTAAAAAACCCAAGACATTTCTAATGCAATACTAGATGTGAAGTTTATTCCTAGAGATTTAGCTTGTGGTTCTGGATCAGAGCTGGCCTGTTTGTCTCTCTGCCCTGAGTCTGAGCAGCAAGTTTTCCAATACTTGAAATATAGGTTGGATACAGTGCAGTGATGGTGAAGGTCCTCTTTCCCAGGTCCTTTTCCAGCTTTTCCTACACTAGAAACCCCATGTACTTACCAGCCCCATAGACTAGCTACTTTCTTCACTTCTTAAATAAAAGTATGAAATGTGTCCTCCTTTGCCATTGAGACCCAAATGGAAATTTTCACTGTGCAAAGAGGCATCTTAAATGTATAGTAGGAGACTATATACATGGGGCTTTGGGTTTTTAGGTTTCTTCTATGCTATTTGGCTTTGGGAGATGCTGTGCAGTAGTGAAACTGTTGTTGGTTTCAGAATAGAAACAGATGAACACAGTGCTCATTCATGGAAAGATATTGTACAGTTTTGGGAGCAAGGATCATCTTTTTATGTACTTTGTATATCTGTATAGTACCTGGAAAAGTGCCCTGGCCTGTGACTGAGTTTCATGAGCACAGTCTCAGTGTTGTGCTTGGCCACTATTAATTGAGAAAGACTTCCCAATCATAATGGTACTTGCAGCTGGAGAGATTTCTAGTATGGGAGATTTCCTAAAGAGTTGAGGCTTTGTTCTGTGAAGATTGGATAGATCGATAGATAGATCGATAGATAGATAAATAGATAGATAGATGTATAACTGCAGTTTTATCTTGTAAAATCAATGAGAGGTGATTCACAGTGTAGGGTTTTATGGGAGAACTTTGTTAATTCCCAGTCAGTGTGATAAAGGGATCCATGACATGAGAACTCTTGGATATATTTTACATAGGTTGCTGTCACATACCTTCACTTGTTGGTAACCCAGTATAAGTCAGTTGGTTTTGCTTATATTGACATTTTATAAGTACCTTATTTTTAATTAAGTTTTAGTAGCTAAATTAGTTTTGAATTAAAATTAATTTATTTATGGCTGCAATAGACCTTATTTCACGTAGTATGTGAAGGACATTTAAAGTATGTGTTCTATCATTATTTTACATACATGTTCTTTATGTAGCTGAGTGCTGGTTTTGATGGCAACCTAACAGTTTTTCAAATTATTTTTATGCAGGGGTTTATATTGAAGAAGTCCTAAATAAATGGAAAGGAGACTACGAAAAACTGGAACATAACCACACTTACATACAGTGGTTGGTCCATTATTACCTATTTCTGTTTCAAAGTGTTAATTTGATTAATTATTCTTATACTGAGCCATAATGCACTTTTTCTTTTAACAGGCTTTTTCCTCTAAGGGAACAAGGTCTGAACTTCTATGCTAAAGAATTAACTACATATGAAATTGAGGTAATACAAATAGAGCTCCGTAAAAGCCATCACAGTAATTTTAATACATAACTGCTTTTTGTTATGTAGAGTTGCCTTATGTGATGCAGAAGTGCTTGCTTTAATGCCACTGAGATTTTCAGATATATTCTTTGTCCATTAGGAATTCAAGAAAACAAAAGAAGCAATTAGAAGATTCCTTTTGGCTTACAAAATGATGTTGGAGTTTTTTGGAATAAAACTAATTGATAAAACTGGAAATGTAACACGAGCTGCTAACTGGCAAGAAAGATTTCAGCATTTGAATGAGTAAGTAATGACATGCACTTCACTTGCTAGAATTGCTATAGAATCTCTTTATCCTTTTGTTTTCTAGAGAAAGCAAAGATATTTTTTCTAAAGACCGCCAGGAAACAGAAGGAAAAAATAAATAGTTGATGCCGGGTTTGTGCCTCTGTCTGTATGTTCCTCCTTCCCCTTTTTTTTAATTATTCTTCTCGCTCATTGCCAGTTGGACTGACATCACTGAATTCCTTGAAAATACAACTTTATATGGTGCTGAAGAAGATCCCAGCTCCAAACTAATTTGTCATAGTACTGAATTTTTTTTCACCCAATCCAAAAATGCTGCTTCTCACTTAAGAAAAAACAAGTGGCTTATCTTTATATTTACATTTCTTTTTGAGAAAGATTAAATTCTCCACACCTGTGTGGAAGTTAAGTAAAAAGATTTCCCTCCCTCCTCAAAACATGAAATACTTTGTATTTAAATATTTTTAATTTAAATACTGGTCTGGAAAGGTTTAAACATGTTATGTCAAGCCTTGGCCCACTGTTCAGCAAGTTATATCAGTTGCTTTACATTGGTATTGTGTGGATTCTAAATTTGCACTGAATTTTGTCTTGTACAGATTAATTGTACCAAAGCCTCTTTTCAAATTTTGTTTACTTTCCTAATATCTCTGACCTTAGGGCTGCAGGATGTTTTCTTGCAGTATTTTGTTCTCCTATCATGGTAAAAGATTGTAGGTACAATTGCTGATGGATTCCACGTGAATAGTGGGAAGACTTTGTTAATGATTTTACATAAATATTATATGAGCCAGCATGGGTGTGGGCTCAGACAAAGGCCACAGATAAAGCAGGTTTTCAGGAAGCCCAAACATTACTGCATGCTTTCACTCCTGTTCTTTCCAGTGAGGAGCTACAGTTTAAATCAGGATTTGGGACTCTCTTTACCTAATTTTATCCATCTAAAATTCAAACTTAAAAGTTTTTCTGCATACTAAGGTGTGCTTCACAAGGGAAAGACCTTTTCACAAGCACTTGCAGAAGACAATTAGTTCATTTTCTCTTCGATATTTCCTGCAACAGTGGGACTTACTCTCCAGAGGTGCCTGTTTTTCCCCAGCACTGCCTGTATCAGTAGTGCAGGTGCTAGTCTAGACAGGAGACCCAGTTTTTAAGTAACTTGAGTGAAGTGCAATGAACCCTCTTCTGTAACTACACTATAAATACACTGCAAACCCTTTCATTTACAAAGTGACTGGGTTTTCTCCCCAGAAGGAGAACAGGATATAATCATTAAGGTTGGAAAAAAACCTCTGAGATAGTTGAGTCAAATCTTTGACCAAGCACTAACGTATCCACTAAACCATAACACTTAGTGCCACATCTACTCATCTTTTGAACACTTCCAGGGATGGTGATGACTTCCTGGGCAGCCTGTTCCAATGTATAACCACTCTTTCAGGGAAGAAGTTTTTCCTAATGCCCAACCTGAACCTCCACTTGGTGCAACATGAGCCTATTTCCCCTTGTCCGGTCACTTGTTGCCTTGGACAAGAAACCCACCCCACCTTGCCACAGCCTCCCTTCAGGCAGTTGTAGAGAACAATAAGGTCTCCCTGAGCCGTTGTTGCTCCAGAATAAACAACCCAATTACCTTTATCTGCTCCTCATAAGACTTAGGTGTTCCAGACCCGTCACCAGCTTTGTTGCCCTTCTCATACAGCAGAAGGAATCAAAATAAGCACATTTGATTTTATTTTCTCTCAGCTCTCTCCCCCAGTGCTTTTGACAAACACTAATTTTCACTCACAACATCCTAGCAAAGGAGGTGCTAGTAAGTTTCAGCAGCTTTGAGAAAATATAGGAGGTCTGAAGTACATACCTGAAGTGATAAAAAAGACTGAGGAATTGCAGTTCCAGTTCTATATTTTTAAAGTGGGTTTTTTTTTCTGATTCAATAGAATTTTTTTACCCATTTATTTCAAAGGTCTCAACATAACTACTTGAGAATCACTCGAATTCTGAAAAGCCTCGGTGAACTTGGATATGAGAGTTTCAAATCTCCTCTGGTAAAATTTATTCTGCATGAAGCTCTTGTGGAAGACACCATTCCCAACATTAAGCAAAGTGCTCTAGAATATTTTGTGTATACTATCAGAGACCGAAGAGAAAGGAGGAAACTGCTGAGATTTGCCCAGCAACATTATACACCCTCAGAACATTTTATCTGGGGACCCCCAAGAAAACAGAAGTCAGAGGGAAGCAAAGCAAATAAAAAGCCAGCATCTCCAGTTTCTATTCCCAATAGTCATATTTCTAAGCATAAGAAAATGAAGGAACCTAAGAATACATTGGCAAGTGGAAGTTCAGCTGGTAAAATAACTGAAGAAAGAAAGATAGAATTCACAAAAAATGGGGAAGAAAATTATAACGATGAACAAGAAGTGAACTGTGATGCTGTTAGGCAGAACAACAGTGAAAAGAACAGTGACACTGATACTAGTCAGCTTTCAAAATCAGAAGAAGTTCATGATAATTCAGACAGAAAGGAGGACACTTCTTATTCCAAAAAAGATGGTGAAAATCTGAACAATGACTGTGGTAACGGTGAAAATCTGAACAATGACTGTGGTAATCACCCAGATGTTATAGAGGAAGATTTATGTAACACTGAGAATTCTTCAAATGACCCATCAGCAGATCTACAAGATAACCTTGATAAGGATACACTTTCAGGGGTGACCACCACAAAAACTAAGGATGAGCTCAAACCATGAATCTGAGATTTAAAAAAATCTTTGTTTCACTTTGAATGAAGCAAATAATTAATTGCTTCTTAATTTTGGTTGAAATTTCCATCTAATGTAAGTTCACAAGCTATGCTTGTTGCAAATGCATCAGATTAGGCTTCTGTTAGGTTAATGATTTTTTTTTTCAACCTCAGTTTATCAGCAGTCAGCCAGGTGTGTCTCTTTAAAACAATTGTGCATATTGGAAGCTAAGAAATTAATTCTCTTTTCCAGACAGATTGCACAGAAAAGCTTATCTAATTTTTAAAATTCATCCAGTATTGAAAAAAAAAATAAATAAAGTGTAACAACTAAAAAGCCTTGGAACATCAGAATTCTAAAGTTTCCTTTAAGTTTGCTTTAAATTTTGTTTTCCATTTAGGAAATTACTAGAAATTATTTCAAAATCACAGTTTTTTACCCTAGTGGTTATTTTTTTTAGTAACTATGGTCTTGATTAATAGTGGTATTTGCACAGTGTCTTTTAGCCTAGATTAGCATCTTTGTTGGAGGCACTTAACAATGGATAGCATATATCATGTTCTGTACAGCTGGGAATCACTGTACATTGAATAAAATTTTTAACTTAAAAAGAAACTGTATCCACACCTTTTGGATACGGAAGCTGCACTTCAGACTTCCTTTAGTCCCTGTTAAATTCTCCCTTCTCTTGACTCATTTGTTACAGCTAATCTGGGGGGAGGGATCTGTTAGATCTCTCAAATTTGGTCTCAGTTTGAAAGCTCTCTGTTACTCAGCTGTAGTAAGACGACTCCCCCAGCTGCGTTCAGCACCTGGAAAGACTCTGGACTGCTGAAAAGCATGTCTTTCCTCAGAGCACTGCCTTATCAGCAAAGCCATCAGAGAAAAGGTCACTAGGCATGGCAAGTTGGATCTTACTTGTACTTGGATGTTTCCTGGCCACTTTTGGGTAGAATCTGCACAATGCAGTCACCTGTTGCTGGTCTCAGAGACAAAGGCAGTCCTGATGCTTCTTTCCAGATGTCTGTTTCCTCTCTTTGCTCTCTATCATAAGTCTCTCGCAGTTTTATGTTATTTTGATAAGCAGCATAAGCTTAAGGAAGGCCAGTCTGTGGGCCAGGCTGGAGCCCAACAAGTAAGAATTTCACTATTAAGATGTTTCCCAGCTTCTACCAAAGAACTTTCTGCTCTCCCTGAGTAGCTTCTTCTGATTTTCTGCTGTTCAAGTCAAATGGTAGTAGCCGGCAAGTTAGTTGTGTAGAACATGAATTAAAAAATAATGCAGGTACAATTCAAACGTCCTACAGTTCTAAAATACTTAAAAACTTCTGTATGGATTTTCTGTTTAAAGGTGTACATAATATCCACTGCCTTTAATGTATTGCTAATTAAAGATTACAAGGCAAGAGGCTGACTACAGTTTTAGTGTTAAAATGCTACAGGACTTTATTCAAGTCTTATAACTCTAAATTATTAATTTATCAGGGATTTCAGAGCATAGACAAAATATCTTGTATTCTGTTTTGCTAATGCCCATCATGGCAATGCATCATCTTTTTTTTTTTCTCCAGGTAGTGCTGGTTCTTGGGATCAAATAAAGTGGTAGTTAGGGATCTTGATACCTATGGAAAAAAATTAGGCTCTTTCCATCCTAAAGAAGCAGAGAAAAAGAAAGATGTATTTCTTCTTCAGTGCTGACTTGTGAGGGAAGGAACTTAATATATGTGGATTTTTCTTTAGGTATTAAGTCTGTCTGAGCAGAAATGTCCCAGAGAATTCCAGCCACCACCTTTTTAAGGCCAGAAAGATCCTGAGAAGCTTTTCACAATTCCCTGGACATAAACTGGGATCCCCTTCTTGGTGTTTGCCTCTGACCTTCAGAACAGAAGGGGGAGGAAGTGCTGTGATAAAACTGGTCTGTATAGTTAAGGACTCTGCCCCTCCATGTATGCAAAGGGAAGACATTTCATTTTCTGCCTACGACTTCTTCAGTCTTGAGTGCCTAACTGTGCAAACTTCATGATGTTGTTCTTACATAGTTATTTTTCGAGTATCATAGGAAAAATTGATACCTTGTGTCTAAGGAACATAACTACAGCATAAGAAGCTACACAGAACCTTCAATTTATGAACTTTAGTATTAATTTTAAACACTTTACAGAAAATGCAGAGTACTGAAGTGAAATAAGGGATGACAGAGGTGTTGTATTTATCAGTGACCTCAGGAGGTCTTTTGTCTACTGAACAAAAAAAAAGAGAAATCTTACCTGATTTTAAACAAAGTTCTTGGGATGTGCCTCCAGAAGATTACTCTGCAGTATTCTATTATCATGACATATCTCTCACTTCAACATTCTTACTGGGCTGTCTGCATTAAGGGGTTCAAGGTATCTGAAAATATTGTCAAGAACTTTGGTACTTATACCTGTATTAACTTAGCAAATTTTGTTTTCATCTGCAACTCAATATATTTCTCTCAGTTTTCACAGAAGAGCAGTGGCATATCAGTTGCCTACAAAGACCTATGGGGACTATGTAAGTGAGGGTTTTTGTGTCAGGTGCCTCCTGCACTCTCTAAGCCTTGTTTTATAACTTTATCAACAGAATTCCTCCCACGGAACACTTCAGCTTTAACTAAATTCTGCTCTATGTAAAATGTGACAATTTATCATTATTTTCATAGTGAAATTGTTTCTTCTGATTTTGCAAGTACTTAAAAGAAGGATTTATTGCAGGGCAATCATACAGTGTAGTGTTGTCCCATTGAAATTTGTGAGGATCAAGTGGGTGCACTGTATGCATTTTTGTTAAAGAATCATGGCCTTAGCAAACAGAAGCACCCTGTGCTTAAAGTTTCTAAGTATTGGTTTTCAGGTTTACAGTATATATACAGTACATATGTGTGTTGAAATGATTGTATTCTCATAGATGCCAGTACATAGTTGGTTAACCATTGCTTCAGTAACTGAGGGTATGCAAAGAAAGTCAAGTAATTTGCTTACTGTTAAATTTATTTTTGTTTTGCTATATGCTAAAGTATTCAGGGATTTTTGTGTACTTATTACAATAGTGTATTTTGGCCCAGTGTTAGACTAGAATCTGAGCTGTTTGTATGTTGATTGAACAGAACCTTCCATATGAAGGTTCTTCCTAAGTAAGTACATCTGAGTAGCCTCTGGTGCTGTTAAGTGGGAGTAGTGTGGACGTGCCTGTGAATTTGATTTTAAGGCTCTTACGGCAAGGGGATATGAATGTGCAACTTGGAACAATGTTACTGAGTACACAGATGAGTACACACGAGGCAGTCATACAAATCATGCAAAAATGCAGCACTTTAAGGTTAGTTACAGCTCTGTGCCCTACTATGCCAGACACAAGTGTGCCTCGGTACCTGATACTGTGTTGGTGTAGAGACTGAAGGCTTGGGTACATGAGGTGTACAGCACAGACCATTCAGAGTAGAAGAGTAGTTACATGTGTCCACATATCTAGGAGCAGGTCTGAGGTCTTTCTGTTCATGTTGCTCAAATAAAATCTTGAAGGATGCTAAAAATAAGTGCAATAATCTTTTGAGACCTGTTCCCTGGCTTGGGTCAGCTCCTCAGTTTCCTTCTCTAAGATTTTAGCACTCTAATATATTTAGTATTTGTATAATAATTGTTAATATTTCGTGTAACCTAGTGTAAGCCTCTCCTGAACTATTCCAGGATAATTCGAATAATCTGCAGTTGCATATATCTGTACTTTAAACAGAAGGTTTACAGACCTTAAAAGCTTTGTACAATATTGATGGATGATCCAGTGAGGTAAGACAAGTGACATTTACTGGATTTAAACAGAAAACAGCTCTTGTTTGTTTTTAAATAAAATTTATGTCTATCTGCTTAATTGAGAGGTTATTTTACCCCTTTCTTCTGACTGTTATGATGGTACTGATCACAGTTTATAGTTATATATGTTTAGGTGAAAATGTAATTTTTTACACTACACTTTTACAGGACACATATCATATTGAATTTCCTTGACAAAAGCTGTATTTATGAATAAGATGCAAGTATGTGAAGCAAGTTTTGCCATTAATAAAAGTGTGACAATATCATGCTGATGATGTATGTTGTCCTCAGAATTGCCAGTGGGGATCAGAACCAAAAATGTTTCTAGCCTTGTGTCCTGCCTCCAGTGCTGGCCACGAAAAAGATGCTGCAAAACAAAGAAATTATACAGTAACCCCATTTTTCACTAGAATTTTTTTGGTTTTGAACTTGTGGTTTCTTTCAACCTCTTCAATCCCTTGTGACTATGAGTTCTATGCTGTAATAATGTTTTGTGTGGAGAAGGCGATCTTTTATTTGTCTCAGATCTGTTTATTAAAGAATTGCTACTGTATTTGAACAGTACTAAAAGTACTGTAAGATGAAGAGTAATCCACTTCAAATCAGTTTGTAAATGTCATGAGAGATTCTAATGACAAAATACCTGTTTAGGCAGAAAATGTCCCCTGTTTCTTCTGTTTTTAGGCAGAAGATGTCTGCTTAGGCAGAAACTTGTCCTAAATTGATGACAATGCTACCTTACTTATTCCTTCTGAATACATGTTTGCACATAAAACCCTCTGTAGACTAGTGCTAAAAGTGTAGATTAAGTGTTAAAAGTCAGATTGCAACTGCAAAACAAGGTTGATATATTTTTTCTTACCTGTGTAAAAGCAAAATCAGTCAAATGGAAAACCTATTCCTAGCCCACGTATGAGTGAGCTACCTCTGGATTTGGAGCATCAGTGAATCTAACATTGTGATCACAAAGAAGATGGAAACCATTCCACATTTTGGTAATTTGTTTTGATACGTGTTCACAGTTCCAATTGTAATTGGAGTAACTGGTCAAAAGGTATTTTTTATGGCTGTCAGAGTCTGAAAATGGGTCAGAAAAGGCCTAAGCATATACAACCCCCCTCAATTCACATTATGGTCAACACCATAGTTTCACTATTTACAGATATTTAGATGCAGTTTCTCCAAGGGGAGTGCACATTGTGTCTCTGTAATATCTTTGTGCTCAGTATTGGCTATGAACTGTTTCTTTTCTTGAAAGCTGTGTTCCGTTTTCAGCCCTTGTTCTTAAGTACACTTAGTTAAGACCTTTGGTGAAAGCAAAAATTTACCTTAAAGAGTATGTTTAATACATGCTGTATGTAATGGACTCCTAAAATTTAGTTCAATAGAGACCTCATTTCTTCTTAGAAATGTGGCTCTTTAATTCTACAATGCTTACAAGTTCAGTGGTGTATTCATCAACTAAAATTTATTGTGAAATATACTGAATGTACTTACTACTGTGGCTAACCATGTGAAAATTATTGTTTTGCAGTGAAAAAGGTTATGGCACTTGTATTTTTGGGACCTGCTGAAGCATGTTTGCTAATAATTCGTTGCTCTTTTTTTTTTCTGTGTTTTAAGGTATTCCACGGTTGTTTGCCCTTTTCACGGTTTGATTTTGGCAACAGATGATTAAGCATAGTTTTGAACTATAAAATTTGAAAATATCATAGACTTCATTGTTGAAATGTATTCTAAGGAAAAAGTGCAGTAAAAAGACAAAGCCCCAAAGCCCAACAATTTTCACTTGCAAAATTGAACAGCTCTATGTCAGTTTTTATGAATGGTCCTGCTCTCTTCTCTGTATTCCTTTGCAGTGTTTAATTACAGAATGCCGTGCATGTTTGGAAGTACCAATACCATGTGTATGTGGTAGGAGTGGTAACCAGTTTCTGGATTTGTAATGCACTATAAAGAGGTATTTTATAATTCTGCATCTGTATGGCAGTGTTAAGCCAAAAAAAAATTGTATAAACATGAAAAGCAATAGTTTATGTTGCTTACTGCTATATTTTAAATAATTTGTAAAATGAAATACTTGGATTTCCTTTCAGGTAAATATATTTTTCATAACAGCAGCCAAAAACTCTGAACTAATAAAGCTTCTTCATTTAGCAGCATTGTTTTAGCAACATATATAGATATTGTGTAGCTGTAATAGTGTGCAATTGCTGTTTGGTGCTTGTTTGTAAAGTCTTCTGTAAATATATTAACACTTAAAAGTAGGGAATTAAAGGTTCTGGTCCTCCTTTTTTTGTAGTCAGTGGCAAAATGACCATGGATAGTAGAGGAATGAGGGAAGACCCAGAGTCAGCTTTTCTTAAAGTCCATGGTTAGTTTTTTCAAGTTAAGAAAAATGTATACTATCAAAATACTGTTAACATTAAAGAGTAGAATATCCACTATGATCATGCAGGCATAAACTGTCTGGAGCAGTGTCAAAACCAGGCTACTACTGCTTAAATGTAGCAGGGAAACATTTAATTTGCTGGTTTTATTTATCCTGTGCTGAAGCTGTAGGATTGGATGGCTCAGTTCTGGTTTTGTAGTAAGCTGTTGTTCAGATGGTGTGACTGTAGATGTATAAAGCTCTATAAAGGGCCCAGCAAATTTGGAAAGGGTTTCCTAATCTCACATGTTTCTTCTTAAAGAGGAGAAACAGGTTCTCCTCACACTGAAGGAGGACTTCCCATGTGGTCCATGTCTCCAATCAAGCTTGGTGTTAAGATGGCTCTGTTAACCTACTTCCATGTTACCAGGTCACCCAGGGATGGCACTGAACTCATAGCAAATATCATTGGTTTTCAGTGTGTTGGTCTCCCCAGAAAACCCAGTTACAGCTCCCTGAGGCAACTGCTGTGGCTCATCTGCCCCTTGGCAAAGACTGGCTGTCACCCTCCTGTGCCCTGGGAGCATAAACTGCACCAAAAGGGGCCAGGGCCTCTGCGGAAACACTTACTGATGTTGCTGGCTGAATCACCTGCAGCTCCAGACTTAGAGCATGTCTGCTATACAAATGCTGCTCTTGTGTGAGCACAGACCTCCTGAGTGCCAAGGTGCTCGTGAAGTCTTGTTGGTGCTCATTCCAAGAGTAAGAGCCTAAGCTGATATCCCAAATTTAGCTGGCCCTTAGTTAAACTAAGCCTGAGCAGCTTCTGGAGGAGGTGGAACAAGGGCTGCTGAGCTGAGCACCCTGTCCCCAAGGGCAGGCACCCACATGGAGCTCAGCCACGCAGCCTGTCAGGGCCTTCTGCTCGGGAGGGGAGCTGCAGGCTCTGTCCCTCCCGCCTGTGTCTCTCGGGGCATCCATTCACCTCCTTTGCTTTATTTTGGGGGGCAAAATCTAGAGAATTTCCAGCTGCTGGGGCAATGGTGACACACAGACCTCAGTTCTGCAGTGGAGGGGAGAGCACACAACCTTGTGTCAGTGCAAGGTGAGCTGGGAAGCACTTCTGTTATGTACAGAGTGGTGGTGGAGACAGCCAGAATAAATGGCAACTATCTCTGTAATTTAGGGAGCTAAACCACGAAGCTTTGTTTTTAAATTGTTCCACCTGAAATAATTTTCTAACAGAGCTGTGCCATAAAACTGGGATGAGAGTGTTTTTATTTTGATGATCTTGAGAAAGGTCTAAAACAGCTATAAAGGCCACATTAATTGCAAAAATGTGATTTAGCTAACCAAACCTGGGAATACTCTTCTTAAAATTACATTTTAATTGATTTATTTTGCTTTGTTTGCCAGGGATGGGTAATAAACTGGAAGAAAAAATATTAAGTATCTTCAATCTCTGGGGTTAATCAGGCCAAGTATTATCCCTGCAAAGTTAAATCAGTAAGTATGACTGGAGAGTATCTGCAGTTTAAAAATAATCCTCCAAAGAAGCAGTAAAAGTATCTACCAAAGTATTTTGCAACTAAATAAAGATGCTTTTTAGATGTTACATTCACATATCTTCAGAGCTGCATTACATTGTAGGCAAAACTTTAGCATGACTTTATTGACTCATCTGTACCTATAAGGGAACTGGAGCTTCAGCTCCATGAAACCTGTTCTTTAAAATATGTCTCTCTTCAGTGGGGGCAGGTAGATTGGATGTTTAGAAACACTGGTGTGCCCTGCTTTGTCTGCACCTTGGAGGGCTGTCACTCCTGGCTGGCACAGGCAGCCAGTGCAGCAGAGTCTGGGCCAGAGTCACGGCCCTGCTCCCGCCTCTGCAAAGATGCTGTAACCCAACATGCTTCATTGCTCTAAAAGGAGATGAGCTGAAGATTTGACCTTCTCAGAGGGATCTGGTCAGGATCCAGGGCTGGGGTGGGGATTATCCTGCCTCATCCCTGGGGTCTGATTCCTGAAGGTTGTTATGTGCCCTGTGAGTTTATTGACTTGTCCAAGAACAGTAACTTGCAACAATTTATGGCAGCTCAGATCTTTCCTTATGTTTAATCTTGGACTGCACTTTACGGGGTGAGGTTAAAAATAAAACTATTTTTCACTGTGAAAAGCCAGTTAAAGAAGGTTTAATTAGGCCCAAGTATTTACCTTCTGATAAACTCACAGAATGCTTTTAATATATTTTTATATTGTATATGCAGTGCATTAGACATTTTTGCAGGAAATATTCTATAGACATGGTAATTTCTAGTCTTACTGAATGTGGGGGGAATGTTTAAAATTCAACTGGCTCTTTCTATTTTTATTTAATGTATAAATCAGACATAATTCATGCATAGTTCCTTCTAGGTTTAGACATTTATTGAGCACTATGTATGGTTATAAACATTTTGTGACAGCTGTTTCAAATTTTAGAATAGAAAAAAAAAACCCACACATTTTCATATCTCAAATTTCCTCTGAAGGCTTACACAAGGAAGCCTTGAATTCTCAGCATCCAAATTGGCGGCTGAAATTAGAGCCTTGAATTAATTCTGAGAACTAGGACTTGGGATCTTTAGTCCTACATGGGACCCTCAGTCCATTGTAGGCAGATTTGTAGTACTTAGTTAACTGAAAATGCAGAAATTTAGTAGAATTGTTCAAAATTATAAGGCACCTAATGCTGATACTTAATAACAGATTAGGAAGTCAGTGAAGGGTTTTTCTGCATCAAGAGGAAGCTCAGAAGCAGTCTAGTTCTTCAGTCAGATTTTAAAAGATTATTATGGACCCCTGTATTTTAACTCTATTTAAAATAAGTTTCTGTTCTTCCCCTTTTCTCTTTTATGGTAAGGATACCGTGATAATGGAACCTTATTTTTTTTACAGTTTAAAATGTCAAAATAACCCCTTTGTTATGCTGGCACACATTAACAACACCCCCCCCCCACCCCACCCCCGGTGACTGCTTCTTACTCCTCCTCAGTCAGCACCATTCCTTGCCCAAGCTGGCACTTCTCAGTGATCCTGCCGAGTCTGCGAGTGCCCAGCACCACGGAGGTGACCGGTGTCACTGGCACTGGGCCATGGTCCTGCATGGCCTCAGGCACTGCTGGGGAGGTGATCACAACCAGCTCTTCAATGAGGAAAGCTATATCTACAGTAAACATCTGGTTTTTCTTCCTCCTCCCCTAATTTGACCCTTTTATAAGGTTGAATTTTGAGGCAATTCCCAGCACTCGACCTCCCCCCAAGGCTGCACACTGCCTGGTCCTGGAGTGTTGCAGGACTTCAGAGATCTCTGCCTCCATTCATCAACACCATGCAGGAGCGTGGTATTTTCCTCGCTGGAGGGGACACTGCATTCCCGTTTCTTACTGTTCTTTCCTTGCTCAGCTCCTGCTCCCTTTTCCAAAGCAGAAGCAGCTTCTCCCAGCTTTCCACATTGCCCTGTCTAAATGATAGGTAGTAGCTTATCTGTGCATTGTTATGTGTTTTGGGACTCTTTACTCAATCATTGTCCATATTTTCTAGGCCTTTACTGTTATCCCACCTTTAGACCGTGCAGACACCTGGTGCCAAGCTCCGTTCACCCACGACCCCTGTGCCAGGCGGCGCAGCCTTGCCAACACTGAGGAGCAGCAAGAGAAGGGCACAGTCCCTTGGGAAACAGAGAGCTCAGCTCAGACCAGCCTGCCAGAAAGTACCATTGCTTCTAAGGACAGAGGTGTAGGAGGTTGCAAAAATGAGCCTTCTGTGGCTTTATATGAAATTTCCCAGAAGGCCCCACTCAGGTATCAGAGTTTGTTTATGGTAACAGAGGCCCAGTGCCATAAAGCTGGCAAGAATATGTCCCAAAAGTGCTTTTTAGAAGCTTTTCACCACTTTGGATAAAATGCTGCTGACAATCTTGAAGTCTCCTGCAACAATCAGATAATTAAGAAATGTTGCTGAGTCGCACCCTCTTAGTCTAAGTGCCTCCCTGGGGCACGGCTGGGAATGCTGCTGCCTGTTTCAGATGTGTCCCCAAACACAGCAGATGTGGATGATTGAGTAACATACCCAGTGGCACATTCTCTGCTGACTCATTTGCTGCACTGCTACTGAGATAATAGGACTCTTACCAGGTAAATTCAAGGCAGAGTTTGGAAAGAACTTTGCAAAGATATTTTAATATAAACTCAGAAGAATGATAAATTTATATAGTAGAAGTCACACTGTAGTTCAAGGATCTTTGCTGGAGAGAATCTGTCTCCTCTGGGACATGTTTGTTGAAATTAGATGTAGGATGAAAGCTGTGTCAGGGTCGATTCTCCCATTGGCACCTGAGTAAATCCCAGTGAGCATCATACACTTTTTTCAGAAATAATTTGGGAAATTATACAAATCACAGTGTTTTGGTATAAACAGACTGAGAGCAAAGGTAAAAATAGGATTTTGCTGACTGAATCCCTTGGTATAAAATGAAAATATAGAATTTTAAAAATATCATATCAAATGTGAAGTTTGTGACCAGGGAACTCCAGTTTGGTTGCTCCAATGTAGGGTTTCCTAACCCTAAATTGTCTTATCTATTAAGTGAAATGTTTCCAGCATCCCTGAAATCCCACTTGTGGGGAGCCTCTGATGGTAAAATTCCAGCATCAAGAGGCAGCTGGGAATTAATGAAACATTACAAGGTTCTGCACAGAGGGATGCTGAGAGAGCAGACAGAAAGGAGTGTATTGAATTGGAGAGTTTCTGACCCAAGGATATTTTTTAAGTAATGACTTGAGAATAAGAATAGGAGCTTTCATGCCATTGTTAGATGGGATGTGTATAGACTAGAGGTGGGTACTCCCCTTCTCTCCCAC